GTTCAGAATTTATTGATATTGCACCTTATAATCCGGTGCGCGTTATAGTCCCAAAAATATGGTATCTTTAAAAAGTGTGCGTTTGTGTTGATGTGTTATCAGAAGAGCAAATACATAAAAAACAGGAAAAACTTTTTGACAATTATGTTGATTACCTTGACTGTAAATGTAGACTTTGCCCTAATCAAAAAAAATTGTGAAAATTTTTGATTTTTAGTACAAATCAACAAAATACAATGAAAGTCATCTGCATATATATCCATAATTATATTTAGTACATATGGAAAGAAATATATTACAAAAATGTTTCTTTAAATAGATAATCAGAATAATTTTAACTTAAGCAAAGCATGAAATATATTCCACCTCAGGGCAGCACGGTGGCGCAACTGGTAGAGCTGCTGCCTCTCAGCGAGCAGGTCCTTAGTTCAAACCCCGGTCCAGGGGCCTTCTGGGTGGAGTTTGCATGTTCTCTCCGTGCATGCGTGGGTTTTCACCGGGTGCTCCGGTTTCCTCCCACAGACCAAAAACATGCATGTTAGGCTGATTGGTAACTCTAAATTGTCCCTAGGTGTGAATGAGAGAGTGAATGGTTGTTTGTCTCGATGTGTCCCTGTGATGGACTTGCGACCCGTCCAGGGTGTACCCCGCCCCTCGCACAGTGATTGCTGGACATGGGCACCGGCGACCCCCGTGACCCAAAATGGAATAAACGGGTAAAGATAATGGATGGATGGATGGATATTCCACCTCTGTCATAAAGAAGTAAAACTAAATGTGGAGTAAGGATAATTGTAAACAAAATAATTTCCACAGTTGAGTGAAAGCCACAGGATGCGAGCGTCAGCCATGAATTAGCAGACTCCGCCCACTCAGGCCTGCAGGACCAAGAGGCTTGCTGTTCCTCCAGCAGGGTCGGGCCAGCCTATACCTCCCACTGGCGCCGGACGCCCCACCAAGAGCCAATCGCCGAGCCCCGCGCTCATGACAGCTCGTTACTACTCAATTAGGCAGGTGCACCTCCACGCACAGGCTTCTGACAAATACAGCCCTCCCAGATGCATGTTTAACATTCGAGAGAATTATATAGTGACAGCAAACACTAAACACCTCACCCTCATCACTTGATTGCCTCAAGATTGGAATCCTATAATTGGCCCGAGCTATTGGGGGGGGGGGGGGGAGCCAATGAATATGATCCAGTCGACTTGTAATTGAACAATAATGAATTCATATTCATACGATGTTTGCTAGCAATTACAGAATCTGATTAGGCCCAATTTGAAGTGACATTGTTCTGTGCTAAAGAGTCTGTGGTGTCGGGCTAATAAAGAGAAGGCGAATCAGAGCCCGGCCGCCAACATGACCTCTAGAGATGAGAGGCGTGCTGACACAGAGGCTTGGCTGGTGACAGACGGGGTTTGGCACCCGGTGCTCTTTGTCCCCTAATTTCTACAGCTTATATTCACTTGCACTGCAGAAAAATAAAATAATAAATAAAGGTTGATTTTGAAATCTTAACACCAATGAATACAGACTGTACACATAACGAAAAGACAAGCAAGGCAAAACAACAACAAAAAAAAGATGATCCCAGGAGAAGAGATTCTAATCAAGATGAAATGATTTACAAATCTATTTAATAAGGCTTGCCAGAAGTCAAACTTGGCATGTAAATGCGGTGAGGATTAAATTTCATCGGCAACCAAGACTGTAACTGATCGCCTGCAGACAAAGGGGGAGCCTGCCAGTTTTTTTTTGTTTTTTCTCATCCTCCCTCCCTCTTTCTTTCCCATGCCTGCATTTTGCCTCGTGATCCCTCCCTAGCTATGTGGAAGGACAGGGGCAGTGCAGAGTGGTGCAGTACAGAGGAGAGGAAAGAGGGGGGAAAAGAAAAAAAAAGAAAGGTGAGGTAAGACGGAGGGAGAGAGAACGAGGAAAGGAGGCACATTAGCAGTAAAGAACAGTGGTGAGAGGGAGAGCAGAAGGACAGTGGAAGATGGCGAAAGAGTCTCAAGGTCAACACGAGGACAGTGTGGTCCTCTGAGTTGGACGCAGACGCAGACGCAGCTGCAGTTACCTCTGCGCTAATCAGCCCTTCGGCTGGTTGATGAGGTGTCAGACGTGCGTGTGGAAAACATTTAGCTTTGCTTTTTCTGTCTGCAAAATGAAGAGGGCTGCTCGGGTGGAGGAACTGTGCATGTGTGCCACTCTGGGGTTTGAGCAGGCTGACGTTCTGCTTGTGGTGCCAGTGCTGCGCTTTTCTTCCCTGCCTTTGCTTTGCCTCCCAACTCTGATCCCCCCCCCCCCCCCCCGCATATTATGCTACACTGACTGAAGCTGAACTCCGCTTTCCCCCGCAGCGAGGGCAAGCATACAACTGCCAATTAATGCTACGTACAGTGTGCCAGTGTTAACGGCGTGAGGCATTCTGGTTCAACTCGCAACGCCGTTTGAAGAAAAGCAAAATGAAGGAAGAAAACGGTGGGCGAGCGAGTTCTCCTCGGGCGTGGCTAACCACTCGCGAGCTAACGGTGACTGCACTCCTAATGCGGGGCTCAAATGAACAGCTGTGATCAGATTTGTGACCTAACTACAGTGCAGGCTGTGCCTCGTTGGTTGAGTTTCGTGCACCAGGCCAGTTGGCAGAGGCAAGTGTCTCCTCGTCTATCCTTGGGTTATTTCCTGACCATCTGTGCCCAGTCATTAACAGGCCTTTTCACAGTCAATTGTCTCGTTCCTCTTCCCTATTTCTGTTACTTACATTGTGCGCAGCCATGGGATGGAGTCCGTTGTTTTCTATACTTAAATATAAATTAAGTTTGTAGAGGCCGTTTTATTAGCGCGGACCAAGGTTAACTCAAAGGGGCATTATGGAGGAAGCATCAAGCAGTGGAGCTCAAATTACAGGGCTAACTGGTACGAAAAACAAGCCAGTGGTATGCTGCAGAATATGTGCATGCTGTGAGTGTTTAACAGCAAATATGTGTGTCTGAGAGACTAGAGGAAGAGAGAGGCAAAGAAGACAGCAAAAAGGAGAGGAGGAGGGGGTGTCCACAGAAGGCCAAGGGAAGGGGGGATGGAAGGAAAGTGGGAGCAAAATAAAAGGGGGGAAAAGAGACGAGGCTAACTGGGCCAGCGTGCACAAATCACCCAAACCAATTAGAGTCACTCATTTTCTCTTCCTGCACAAACTCCATTTCTGATGTTTGCAATTGTCAGGGTGAGGAATAACTGCACACATCACTGCAGCAGTGATTCAAAAAAATAAAAAAAATAAAAAAATGAAAAGAAAGAAAGAGATGTGCCTAAAATGCGTTTAGCCATCCCTTCTCCTCGCCTTTTGTTATTGGTCTTTGTGCAGTGATTTGCCTAAGGACCCAGATTTCCTAGCAACAGCCTGCCACAAAACATTTGGCAGGAGTTCAACATTCTCTCTCTTTGTGAGAAATGGCAACGCTGCCTCCCCGCTCTGCGTCTGCCACCAGCTCCGCCGCTGCTGCTGGATGAGCCGGTCTGGCTGCGAGAGCCCTCTAATAATTCTGTTTTCATCCAATCACGCCACATCGAACGCAGGCACCTTGAGAGCCTCTGCCAGGAATCATCAATCAGCTCCTTAACGCGAACGCAACGCCCCGACAGACGCGGACACATGTGCGAGCGAATAACATGCGCACATGTGCACATTTTGGTAATTAAATCTACGGATCCGAGTGTACATGACCGCATAAACCGCCCGGCAGCAGTTTAATAAAAATAATAATCAAGCGAGCACAGAAAGGTTAGCGCAGGGAGAGTGAAAAATTTACAATCTGGCTGTAAATTTGGTAAATGCACCTAAGTGCTCTCGACAAGGTTAATGAAGCCAGAAGGCCTTAGTGTATGTCGCTCTAGACACGACACACGGTATTAAGCAGGAATAGCTGTGGCAGTGTATCTGGATAAGCAGTTTAAAAGTGCAAATGGGACTCTAATAAAGCAACCCCCCCCCCCCCTGTTTTGACAAAGAGGCCCAGGAGGGACACCGAGCGCCACATTTTAGATTCCAAGCACTGACAAACACCCATTTGTGGCTCTTCTATCTCCCCACCTCGAATCCCACAGATTGTCGGATGTGGGCAAAACCCAACTGCCAATTTGCAGAGGATGTGCCATGTTTGCTAATGTGAAGCAGAGGCTAAAAAAAAAACCAAAAAAAAAAAAATGAGACCACACAAACTCCGAAGATGGATGGACTGATCTGATCATTTTATATTTATTTTGGGTGTTTGCTTCCATGACTAGACGGTTAGTCGTGAAACTACCATCATTACAGCTCATGCGTGGCGAGTGAACAATCCAGCTTGGGACAGTATCCCAAGGATTGTGTTGACCGGGCTGTAACGCTGATTTATACCACTAATGAACTGCTTAAAGACATGGAAAGCACCTCAATTTCAGGGCTATCACCTTGACTTGAGAAGAGGGGAGCCGCTGATCTGCCGGAATTACATATAATCCCAAAGAGTGAAACACGAGCATGGCCGTCCATCCTTCTCCAGAAGCCACGAGTGAAGACATTACCTCAGCGGTGCAGCTTGAGTGTGCAAACGTCTAGGCGCACATCTGTCCCCTTCAATCTGCGCGCGTGTTTTGTCTGCGAGTGGAAGATTGTGTGGGAGGGGGTAAAGCCGAATGAACTTGCATAATCAATTTTCACACTTTGGCAGCACCTGTTGGCTTGTGTTCACGTTAAAAGAAATGAATGAATACATTACATGTAGAACAATTTCACACTGCGCTGCAGCGTCGTGCACAAAGACGAGGGGAAAATGGGGAAAATGGAGCTGTATTGTCTCAATAGGTAACAGAGCTCATTTCATTCAACAAAGGATGAATGGATATATTGACAATGCAGAAGGCGTGCTGAGGCATTTCCTGAATAAAGCCTCTTAACATTTTGTCCTCCTCTGGCTAACAGAGTTTGGGAACAGTCGTTCAGAGTAGAGGGTCTCACTTACCGCAATATAATAGACTTTGGCTTTCTCCACCAGCTCCCAGTTGCTGTCCAAGTCCAGGTGTTTTTCCTTTTTGTAGCAGTTTGCCGCTGCCAGGTTAGCAACAAGGGACCTGCCGAGACAGACCCCATAAATCTTCTGCCTCGCTTATCATCCATCTTAATTTTGTCTAAAAAACATCTTCAAAACACACACAGGCTGCAGAATTTCCTTTGTTGTTGTTTTTTTTTTTGTTTTTTTTCAGAAGAAAAGGATATCTTCTTCAAGTGCCTGGACACAATGAAATAAAGTAATCTGGATGTCTTTATTCTGCAAACATCAAACGTTAAAATAAGATATTTGAGATAAACAATAGCACCTTGAAATTATTCATATAATCATATCAGCAGCCGAAGTGGCTCGTTGTTAATGAGGGTTGAAAAACAACACAACTACATTACTAAATGAGCACTTTAGTTGAGTAGTGAGTAGTGGGAGACTGAAGCAGGTGGCATTATCTTAACATAGCTCATTACCCCATCCTCATGTTCTTTCTCTTTATGAGCGGCCATCAAAATGAGAGCACCCATCATAGCTACTTAGGGGGGGAAACTGTTAGGCGACCATACGAGGGTGTTGGAAGCAGGCAAGAAAAGCATTCTGGCCCCAGTTAATGTCTGAGAGAAGAGCTGATCGCAGTGTGATGATGAAGGCTACGATGTGACAGCAGGATGGGGACTGCGTTTGACCCGAGCCGCAGTAATGGACTCAAAGGTTGGGACAAACATGACAGGCAAAACGAGTGTCATTACTGAGGGAGTCCGACAGATATGAGCACTGAAGAGCACTACGAAAGAACAAACACGCCGGATGGTACGATACGTTTAAAAAGGTCGTTTTAAAAGTGCCACTGTCAGCTATTCAAAAGAGAAAAGGCTTTCAAATAAAATAAAATAAAGTGCCATCCAGTAAGGGTGGGGAAATTACCAGTATCTAGTTTTTGTTGAACAGCAATGTGGACATGAACGATTCTGAATCAATATAAAAATATAAAAAATTGGATTATTTTTTATAATGTTAGGAATGTGAGGAGCAGAAAAGGTGGAACCCTGAAGTATAGAAGTGTTGCACCCGGACCGTTTATGTTGTGCATAGACCTGTCACGATAATACATTTTGCTGGGTGATTGTCTCAGAAATTATTGCGATAAACGATAATATTGAAATTTGACAATAATTAGTAATTATTGTCAAATGTAAGAAGGTTCATTTGTTTTGAGTGTAGTACCTTTTTTTGACCACCGGATGGCAGTATGGCAGTATATGACAGTTTGAACCAAAGGACGGATAGTGAGGCAGCGAGCAGCGTGTCTCTTTAAGAAAAATGGGAGGGAAGCCCCTTGACGTGACATGGGCTGTCTCTCTTTTTGGTTCTCAAAATGGTGGACGCTCGGTGCGGTTTGAGCTCTTTAGCATAGCATTTTTCACACAAAGCTTTTAATAAATAAAAAATCAGTAAAAAAGTTCTCAGCTTCTTTTTGCAGAGAAAAACAACTTTTTACACGAAGGAATGGGTTTCAACTATGAATTTTGGAGCTTTGACAAGACGGAGGTTTTTTTCCCCGAGGTTGGCCTGTTGGCTTAGCTCGTAGCTTAGTTGCTTTTAACCGTCCAAAATTGCGTTTTTGGATGGTTAAAATGGATTTTACAAAAAAAAGGGAAAGGGAGGGGTCAGTGAAGAGCACTGGAATTGATCCTTTTGTCATCCAGTGTCTTCAGTAGAAAGAGAGAGACGAAGAAACGATAAAGCCGATAAATGAAAATGTGGTTGATAATTTTCATTTATCATGCGATTAATTGATTTATTGTTTATCGCGACAGGCATATATGTGCACACAGCAGAAAAAGAACACGGCTGACCTAAAACGGTTAGTTCTACTTTGAAAACCAGTGGAAATTATTACAGCTTCTGTAAAGTCAAAGGGAAAAATACAAGTATCACTGTGTGAGGGGCGGGGGACACCCTGGACAGATCTCCAGTCAATCACAGGGACACATGGAGACAAACAACCTCACACTCTCACTCACACTTAGGAACAATTTAGAGTTACCAATCAGCCTAACATACATGTTTTTGGTCTGTGGGAGTAAACCGGAGTACCCGGAGAAAACCCACGCATGCATGGAGAGAACATGCAAACTCCAACCAGAAAGGCCCCCGGTCGGGATTTCATCTAGATCTTTTACGATTTTGATTTTTTTTGCATTCATTTGTTGAATAACTGAATTGTGCTACACGTTTCACACTTTGGAGCCACAATAGAACATGATCATCTCAGCCGCTCCCACACTGGACAACAGTCATCTGTCATCATTATCTTCTAAATCAGGAGTGGGCATCGAGGCCAGTGAGAGTCAGATGGATTGACCAAATATGTTATTATTAGCAGAACGTGAATTTGTGGAACTTGAAATATGATGGCATCGAGACACATCAATATTAGTTTTATAATTGTAATTCAGCCCTCTGAATCCTAATCAAATCATATCAAAGGGGTGTCTGAAGATTCCCACCCCACCATCCAACATGTTCGAGACTTAAGAAAACTGTTTAATCTAGAGCAGGGGTGTCCAATCCTGGTCCTCTAGGGCCAGTATCCTGCATGTTTTTGAGGTTTATCTGCACCAAAGCACCTGCTTTGAATCAATGGGTGATTAACAGGCTTCTGCAGAACATGAAGAGGTGAATCATCTATTGAATCAGGTGGGTTGGAGCAGAAAAACAAGAAAAACCTGAATAGTGGCCATCCGGAACCAGGACTGGACACCCCTGTTCTACAGTAATAAATTATCAAAACATAACTTTTACCATCCATCCTCTTTTACCCACTTATTACTTTTCAGATCACGGGGGTCATCAGAGCCCATGTCCAGCAGTCACTGTGCAAGAGGCAGAGGACACCCTGGACATGTCTCTAGTCCATCATAGGGACACATAAAGACAAACGAGACAAACAACCATGCACTCTCTCACTCACACCTAGGGACAATTTAGAGTTACCAGTCAGACTAAGATGCATGGTTTTGTCTGTGGGAGGAAATCAGAGTATCAGGGAAAACTCACGCATGCACAGAGAGAACATGCAAACTCCACCCAGAAAGATCCCTGACTGGGATTTGATCCCTGACTGGGATTTGATCCGGCGACCTTCTCGCTGAGAGGCAACAGCTCTACAAACTGAGCCACTGTGCTGTGCCTAACTTTGACTAATTGGTAAAAATTTAAAATAATGACATATAATCAAATCCCTTCAATGAACTTAATAGCCATATTTTTAAATGTCTGAATAATTTGTCCATCTATCTTTTGTATAAAAACTAATTAATTAATGAGCAATAAATGCCTATCCATCCATATTTTCTCCTTTCCGAGTTTCAGTTCAGCTGGTGCCCGTATCTAACAGTCACTGTGCGAGATGCGGAGTACAATCTGGACAAGTTGAAGGTTCATCACCGGGACGCACAATAAAAAGAGAAATAAAAATTAAGCTCCATAACATCATCTTGTAAATTTGTTAGAAATTATTTAGTTTAGACAGTTGAATTTCCTCCAACTAAGATTGGCCTGTACTCAAGTGATTCTAATCAGCACACTAAACTTATTATGAAATATTATGCTTAATTAAATTAATTTTAATTTGTTTCACGAAGCTTTTAGAGCTCTTTGAAGTTCAAAAAGGTGGACGCAGAATTTCAGGCAGCAATCATGCAAAGTCTGAGACCCGAAAGAGACCGACTGATTGTACCTTTGATTGCTCAAGTAAAACAAGAGGGAAAAAGTGTTTTTTAACGTGGTTTAACGTGTATATGTTTTTAAAGATTGAAACTCAAAACTCTCAGCTTCCAGTAGGCGGGTTGTAGTTGCTCTTTGACGACTTTCACTAATAACCTGAAGGGCTGTGGCATGTTTTCTCCCAGTCCTTCAAAGCCATCACTTTTCCAATCTAGCCCCACCATCGACCTTTCATCTAGCCTCCCGAGCTGTCGGTTAAACACCTGTAAGAAATATTACAGAGTTCGCCTCCCTGAGCACGGCACCTGACCTTTTCAGGTGTCAGAGCCCACATCAAACAAGCCCACTAAGACCATTCACTGGGGCTGCCTCCCAGGGTGGTCAGGGTCCAGCGGTTGACTGACTGACAACAGCAGTATCCGTGTGGATAAAAGGCTGTAGAAGAGGAGTGTTTAGTGAAGGTGGTTATTGATCGACGCCCGGCCTATCATGAACTACAGCCTTTAATGTTAGTGATATTTGTGTGTATCAGTGCAGAGTTTGACCTCTGCTGTCTCAGATGTGCTGATGATGATGCTGGAGTGAAAGTCACCAGAGACACTAAAACCCCTTTTTTTTCCAGGCGAGAAGGCTGACAGGTGAGAACTGGGGTAGCCCAGGAATCTCTGACACATTGCTACTGTCAGCCAATAGATGGATGACAACTCGCTGGGGCTGCACAGACTGAAAGACAAAAAAAAAAAAAAAAGCTCAAGCTTTTCGTTTTGTTTTCTATAAAGTCTCATCTGAGCACTGATTCCCTGTTAGAAATAGTAGTCCCTCATTTATCACGGGGGGTCCTGGTGCTATAAGTGAAAAACCGCAAAGCAGGAATAGTAGTAGTAGTAGTTTATTTTATTATTTATATAGATATATATATATATCTATATAAAGGTGTTTTAAACCCTTCCCACACTCTTTCAATATTCTAAACAATGTTTCTAAACTCTAAACGCTCTAAAAGAGCACAGAATGTCATGATTTCAGCTCCCTGCCTCCTCTGCTCTTTGCCACCTGCAAGCGCACAAAGATCAGCTGATCAGCTGCAGCAGCAAGCTCTCTTGTCTGAGGGCTGCAGCAGCAAGTTTATCCTGCAGCAGTAAGGGTCGCACAAATGTGAAGCAGGTGCTAAATCATTTTAAATAATTTATTTTAAATAAAAAATCCATGCCGACCGTGTGACTCATCCATCAATCAGCTGATTGTGTGTCATGTCCAATTTTGTTTTGAAAAAACGCGATAAAGCGAGTCCGCGATAAACGAACTGCAAAGTAGCGAGGGACTACTGTACCTAAAACGGTAAAAATAAACCGAAGTAAAGGTTCAACAAGGCTCAGTCAGGTCATCTGGATGGTTTCATTTTGTTGAGATGTTTCGTCCTTCATCCAAAGGACTTCATTCATTCGACCTTTATTTTTACAGGTTAGTCCCATTGAGCCTCGAGGACTCATTTACAAGAGAGACCTGAATCCAAATTCATCAATCCGAGGAGCCACAAACAAACTCAGTCCCCCAAGCAGCACACTCCCAGAGTGGACCAACCAGTTTGTTGTGATAAGATGGTTTCTGGGGCCCGCCCTTTCCCCCGTCAACTCCTCTCAGGCAGCCATAGCCAAAGTGGTTCAAAACATCAAAGTTCATGCTCAGTAATCCAGGTTTTAAAAAAATCCAACAAGGTTCAGCCAGGTCAGCTGGATGGTTTCTTAACATACCATCAGAGACCAATAAGACCAGTGACGTCACACATAGTCACCCCACTGATACACTCTGATAGGCTGTGCTCACCCAGGATGTGGGGGCAGAGCCAAGGGCCAATATAAGCTGGGGCGTTCTGTTGCACGGCACCTCCGCTTCTGCTTCCGGGTTAAGATGAGTCAGACGGACGCCTCAGAGCTGAACCTGTAACTTTTTCCTTCCTGATAGACATTAACTTGGTAAACTGAAATTATATCGCTTGATTTATTTGAATTAAAGTGAGTTTCCTCTCCATCTGGGAATAAAAGAACCAGACGGGGAGTCTGACCGGTTTCAAGGACGGACCCGGTCTGGATTCCACAGGAGTGTGTTGCTTGTGAGGCTCAGTTTGTTTGCGGCTGCTTGGACTGATGAAGTCCTTTGGATGAAGGACGAAACGTCTCGACAAAAAATAAACCGTCCAGATGACCTGACTGAACTCTGTTGGATTTTTTTTGTTTGTTTCTTGGTCAAGAGAAGTTTTTGTGTCAAAGAATATTAACCTATTGTCTCCTGTAATACAGGCTGCACAGGTACCAGTCGGCTCCTCGCTCTGCTCATAGTAATGGGCATCAACGTGGGCTTCTTCGGCCTTCTTCTTCAGAATCTCCCCAAAGCGGTCTTTACCGATGCACCCAAAGAAGGTAGCCACCTTGTGTGGTTTCTGGATCATCCACTAGGAAAGAGAAAATAAAGACAGTTACAGAACGCTCCGTGTACAAACACGAGTCTGTTTGAAGGGTCAAGTTCAGCGAAGGCAGATGGCACACAAACTGTAGCTTCACAGCAAACATGCTGCTTGTGATATACGAGCGCTGCGAGCTGTCGTAAACAACCCAAAACCCGACTCGGCGGCGCACAGAGAAACTATTCTCATCCAAGCGCTTCTCCTTCCTGCCTGTGTGCTAAAAACAGTCTAATCTCCTTATTTACACAAACCCAATAATTTAAGGCTTCATCCTTCTTATGCAAACACAGACTGGGTGTGAGTATGCGCCCGCTGCCACAGGACACTCCCCGAACTGCTCTCTCTTTTTTTGGGTCTCGACTGTGTTGATGTACTCGGTGACTTTTACCTGATGAGAGGCTGCTCAGATTCTACAGTGCTCAGGTTTAACCTCCAAAGATTTATTGACGTGCAGTACGTGCTGCTGTTTGCTTATTTTATTGCAGCCTCCTGCTTTGTTGCTGACGGGGGCCCCTTGTGAATGAGATGTTGCTGCTTTTGGAGATGACCTGTATATGTGTGAAATTAATCATTTCGCACGACCAAACAGCATCTCGGCGGAGGAAGAAAACTGCATTTTCATCATCATTCGTCCCGTCGTCCCTCATTATTCTACTTCCCCAAATCTGGTCTTTAGATACCTCAAAGGAAAAAAAAAAAAAAACAAGCTGAAAAGAAGCACTGTTCAAAAAGAGATTCATTATTTAAAACAAAGCGAACATTAGTTTTTAGTGCAAGGTTGCTTGTTAACAAACTGATAATGAGGGTAAATATTAGCATTTCTGTCTGAAAATATGAAATTTATTACAATAAAATAAGCATAAGAAAACACTTTAATCCAAGTGTAAAAATACATCTAAAACTAAATGCACAAACTGTGATATTGTCTAAAATGTACAAGCAACATATAATAATTAACTGAAAATTAAAAATGAAAACACAAAATGGTAATAATAAAGTGAAATGCAAAAGATTTAAAAGAAGCTGAGACAGAGGCATGTTTACTACTGTGTACATTCAGTAACTCCTTTTCAAACAATAAAAGTTTATGCATTGGGAAAACCACCAAATTTATTTTTAATGCTAATTTTATATTATAAAGCTCCAGTGGACATTCCTGCAGTCAGCATGCCAATTGCATGCTCCCTTAAAACTTCAGCATCTATGGCATTGTGCTGTGTGATAAAACTGCACATTGGCCTTTTATTGTGGTCAGCCTAAGACCCACCTGTGCGGTTATCATGCTGTCTGATCTTCATCTAGACATGCCACACCTGTACGGTCGATGGATTATCTCGGCAAAGGAGAAGTGCTAGCTAACACAGATTTACACAAATTTGTGAATAATGTTTGACAAAAAATAGCCACTTGTGTGCATAGAAAAAGTCTTAAATCTTTGAGTTCAGCTCATTAAAAATGGAGCAAAAATGATGCATGTACAGTATATTTTTGTTCTGTGT